GCGGCCGCGTTTTGAATGGGTGGTAGGTTAACTGCGCGGAGTTGCTGAAATGCCTTTTGTGTTTTCAAACGTGGAATATTGTGATATGCATTTTGTGTGTGGATTTTGCGGTGGCAATGCACGTGCTGCTGTTGAAGAATAAGAAAGGCGTTTTCCCGATCAAAGGATTACATGTCGAAGTGTATTTACACGAATTCACCAGACACTGCATGATACTGGTTCTCTTCTGAGTGTTTCTGTGCACTCTGAAAGGGAGGATGTACGAATGATAAACACACGAGAGAACGTTCTTGAGATGGTTCAGAGAAGTCCGTGTCTGTCCACTCGTAGAATGGCCTCTCGCATCGGTGTATCACGTATGCAGGTGTAGCGAACTTCACATGATGAAGAGTTGTATCCTTACCATGATCAAAGGGTACAACATCTGGAACTAGGCGACCATGCTCAGCGTATGGATTTGTGCCACTGGATAAAAGCTCATCCCGAACTGTTAAGCGTCATTTTATTCAGTGATGAGGCATCTTTTACCCTGGACGGTGTAAATAATTCATGAAATGTGCATACGTGGTCCCATAATAATCCACATGAGATAATGGAAACGAAATTTCAAAAGAGATTTTCCGTGAATGTACGTTTAATACAGTTACGTAGTCTGTTCATACCATTATGCGCACTCAGCCATGTTACGTCGGCGCTTGCCAGTCATGTGTCATGTATAGTGCTTGGAAACCTAAGGACAATTATGACATGGCGAGCAAGTATCTTGCACTTCAATTTTATGGCTTCATGTTACTCACAAGTTAGTTTGATGTTACGTACATTATTAACATTACAGAAACCACATATTCCTGCCAGTTTTAATATGTATTTTGTAATCAACAAGTGTGTAACACCAAAGTTTCACACTTCTCTGGCCATTATCTCCGTAACCGTTCAACTTTGGACATAGGTGTTTTGGGTTATATCGGCATACTTTAACACAAGGAACACCCTCCCGAAGTCTGGCACATTCCTCCTGGGACACCCTGTATATTGCGGCGTTTTTGTGTCCCGCTGGGTGTGCTCCTTGCTTACTTGTGTTTATCTGTGATCTGTCATTGCTTCACTACCTTCATTTAGAAAAAAAAAAGTCCTACAGTGCAAAATGATAACACCACACCCAATGGTGACCTTTGGAAAACAAAGTGCTCAGTCATAAAGTTCATAAGAATTCTGAGTTTCCAGTAATAGTTTTTATTTACATTTCCCTTCATATGAAAACGCATGTCACTGGTCATATACAGTTTGCTGAAAATATTTGGTACCACTGGCTGCAACCCCAAAAGAACCTGTGCAGAACTGGAGATGATTTTATCAGCCAAATTTGGTCCTTGAGCAGGGTGGCTGTTCTCTATGGACCAACATTAATCTAACGCACAATTCATCTTGCAGCTAACTCTGACAAACTGAGCAAGGCATTATAATGCTGAACTAATCACTCACGGCTCTCAATAACAGACATGCAAAATCACAATGCTTCAAATGTACTGGCGTTATGTGGAGCTACAGGTGATATCATGGCCTTCTCTGAACTTGTAGTATGGAATTTTATGAATCACACCACAACAGTGCCATGGTATGACACAATGAAAATTCTAAAATGCTTTAAAAAATTGTGCTGCATCACTATAACTCATCTACTTTAACAAACCATTCTATAAATGCAACATGATGTTGTAAGTAGACTATAAAAATCCATTCTGAACCCAACTGATCTCTCAAACCTGTGCTTCAGGGCTATAATGCTCCAGTCATTATCACTAAGCATGTGCAGCTATTTTACCTGCAAACAAATTGTTTCAGTTGCTTCTCACGGACTCTATACTACACAGTCAAATATTTTTGGTATATATTATTCCACTCAAAACAAAAATTTCTTTCGGCCATTAAAGCATGTAACATGCTTTTATACAGTGCATTAGAGAGAAGTACATAATATTACATACAAATACAATTTCACACTTTTAATTTAATGCTGACTTACATGGATCAGACCAGCAGATTTATAAGTGCATAAATTCCTTTCAAACTATACAATTAACCCTTTGACGTGGTCATTTAAATTCCGCGGCCGCGGCTCCTGCGGTAATATATTCAGCCGGCCATTTAAATTTTGCTCGAAAATTAATTATTCATCATTGTTCTTAAATTCTATGAGATAGGAACATGAAACTTTCACTAAAATGATCTTAAAAGGTGGTTTTATAACCTTACCTTATAATATGAACCCCCTTTATATCTTCAATGGAAGCAGGTTGTTTAGTATTTGAGCAGTGAATGGTACGCTTTGAAGGATGAAACTTTCACTAAAATGATCTTAAAAGATGGTTTTATAACCTTGCCTTATAATATGAGCACCCGGTATCTCGGCTATGTAAGCAGGTGACGCCTTGAAGCATTAGTCTAAACACAGCGCTGGCTCATATTCACCAAACCAATACTGCGTATCTTTACTTTTGCTTTTTTTTTTCTAACCACACTTCTGTGCGGCCCTGCCTTCTTCCCCGTGGTGGGAATACAAGTGGAAATGTCCCTCCGTGAGTCGAGTCGTATATTTTGACAGATTAGCTGCAGTAAATTCAACCTTTGTGTTATCATAAGAAGGGTTTGGTGCTTCTGCGTTTCAGATTCCAACCTTTTCGGCTCCCCAGATGTCGTAGGGGTGACCACAGAATTCATGAATTTATTATAAGAACTGGCTGGTATATAGAGGAAGAAAGCAGAGCTTAGCTGGCTCAAAAAAAATAGTTATGGTCATCCCTCGAAACGACCACCAAGGTCAGTACGATAAAATGGCGTCAACTGGAGCGATAATGAGTACTTTTCCCTCCCCCACACACATCCGTATCGTCTCAGGGGGTGACCACAGTGTTCTGCCTTAAATTGTGGCGTTTTTCTCAGAACTGGGCCTTTGTACTGTGCGAAATCAATGGATCATGCGAGAATAAATTTCTGGACAACCCTATTCTAAGAATTCCAGTTGAGTGTGTCAATGTGGCCAGCTCAGGGCAATATGATATCATATACAACAGTAAACATCACGTCTCTTCTGTTTATATCTTCAAAGCAAAGAAAACACGCTTTCATAACAGTACAGCTAGAAACCGCTCGCCAGAACCACAGGAACTTTGCTGCAAGACAGGCATATGTAACGATGACTTGGCGCAGATAAAGTCGTGTCTTATTTATACTCTGTTCTACTGACAACAGGCCAGCGAAAAATCTAACAATCTACAGCAAAACCATCAATTATTATGGGCGTTATAACATAGGTGTGCAGCTGAACGAAACATACACGTCGAACCCCCCCAGACGATTTAAATCCCTGACGAAATATACACGACGAACCACGGCAACGGGTTAAAATGAAAATTTTAAACCAATGGTTCTAATGAATTAAAATTTATGCTGCCAACTGACAGTAGTACAGTTTGTTAAGTGTGTTCTGAAAGGTTCTAAACTGAATACAGAAACTAACTGTATGAATTCATGTTAATTACTTACCCACTATTGACATGCAAGCATTGATGTGTGCGTGGAAAAAGAAATAAATATATGATGCAAAATTCAGTGTCACAAAACAAATGTTTTACATTTACAATCATTAGCTGTAATATTAGATCACCTAATACTTTGCCTGCCAACCCATTTCACAGAATTACATGTGAAATGCTAAGACTACTTGATGGTAAATGCAACTGCACTGAAAACGCCGTAACACTTTCCTCTTATGACCTTCAAACCTTCCTTCTAAGGAAAGAGGAATACAACTACTTAACAATGAGCCTGTCTTTTTGGCTGTGATGGCATTAACAAAAGTACCCCAAGCCAGTGTTGTCAGTTTGTAGCATTCAAAGAGTTGGGCAACAAAGCTTGTGAAAGCTGACTGATACATTCACAGCCAATGCAAACAAATTTTAAGAGTCTTATGCTCGGGGATATAACACCATGCACTGAAAGTCAATCAACATTTCAGAGGAACATGTCACCTGAATCTATCTTCTGGGTCGACGAATACATCAAGCAAGAAAGAATGTGACTGGCTTGTCATTTGACCATGAAAATGGATATGAAATGTTCCTCTGAAACATCAGTTGACTTTCAGTGGACTGTATGGCATTACATCCCAGAACACAGAACTCTTCATAACCACTGTTGTGATAACCCCAAACCCAACATAAAAACGTTATTAAGACAAATACAATGGTTTACCTCATTGAAGTAAGCAAGCTTCCGCTGACGGTAGAACCAATAGACAGCAGCAATAATGATGGCAAGAATAAGGACAGGCACCAATGTGTACACCATTACATCCAGTCCATCCTCACTTATGTTCGTAACAGGCTTCGGAACTGCTTCAAAAATTGAAGTCATACAATTAATGAATTCAACTGAATACCAGGTGAGATAATTAAACAGCAAATTTTATGCTTCTAAGCAGGAACTTACAAGGCTTCCACCACATGTTGGAGCAAGTGACCCTATGTTTCAGACTGAGGTTGTGTTTCTGGTCAAAGTGTTTTACTGGCATGGTTCTTTTTAGATGCCAACTGTGTCTCATGACCTCTCAAAAATATGGGTTCCGTTGGTCCTCCCTGTACAACTCTGGGATAGATGGCATAGAAAATACGGTCTCTGACAGTTCCTCTATTGTTCTGGGCATACTGGCAGCTGCGGGAATGTGTTTACTGAGCCACCGCCTAGCAATGGGCATCTTGGTGGCTCTTCTCCAGCTCTACTATTTCAGCTTTGAGATGTTGTTATGTCAATAAAGGATATGAATTTGTTACAGATGTCAGTTGTATTACAAATGCAAAAATATATGTGGCAGAAAGACAATTTCTTCTCCTAGTTGTAATATTAAACATAAAAAATCCTTGTGATTCCTTATAGGAACATAAAGTAGAACAATGTTCAAAAGTGAGGGATCAATCCAAGTCTTTACACATATTCAGCAGAAACACAGCATCTAGATGCCATTGTCTTCAATGTAAAATAAAAGGTACTCTATAAAATTAACAGTTACAATGAAAAGCAGCTAAAAAAATACTGAAGCACAAAGCTGCAAATGTTCTCTAGACATACCTACATCTAAAAAAGTCTTTTGGAGAGTATTACAATATTTAATGATTATCTTTAAACTGAAAGAGTTATTCAGTGTCAGTTGATAGGTATAACAATGAGTTTAATTGGTCTTAGAAACAACTTTAGCCTAGTTTAGGGTACTATTCCGGCATTTGGATGGAAAGATGGTGGAAAACCACAAAACACCTCAACCAGCATAGACAATTCACAGGCTGGATTTAAATGCTGGAACCACCAAGTATGAAGTGGGAGGGCTAACCAATAAACTGTGATTCTTGGTTTCTGTAGCAGTGATGGCAATTACAGATGACAGAACTATGGGTGTGCGTGTGCATGTAAATTTATGGTCATGTCAGCATCCAAGACTATTTGCAACCGTCTAAAATTCATGTATCAATCAACCAATCATTCAGCACACGGCAAAATTACTATAAACAGCCAAACTGTAAAAGGGTGTGAAAATAACATCACAGATAAAATCTGTTACAATAATCATTAAAAGATACCAGGTCATAGACAGGTCTCTCATTAAACTTCTAAAAATGGGTAGGTACAATAAAACAAACAGAAATATTTCTGCAGCTCACAAAGTTCAAACATTAAAATTATATCAAATAATGGGACCTAACAGTGATCACTTCCAAGAATATTGTGCAACATGCCAAGAACTTATAAGGTAATAAGTAATGCAAAGGGTATTCAAGAATATGTAAAACAGATGACAGAAACATATTTAAGCTTACAGCATCGTAAGAAGTAGGAAAAAGAGAGGATAACGAAACAAATATTTCTCAGTATTTTAACTGAAATTCAAAAAGGGGAACTCAGCATTCAAACTTACTTATGCACATTGTATTCTTCTTAATATAAAGAGGATACAACATAAGTTTCTGTGTTTATAACAAAGGTGGAACATACTGTGGCGGTTGGAGAGCAGAGCAACGGGTAGAAGAGAAACAGTTGCAGGACACAAAGAAGATAGACTTGAAAGGATTCTGACAATGGTGTATACTGTACTTCTTTTGGCTTATTTTGGACTTCACCCATCGTCTGGTATGCAAAAGACAAAAAGACAAAAAAAAAAAAACACGACGTTTCAGAGACTGGCTCTGTCTCCGTCTTCAGGTGTATAGGGAAGGATAAACCTACTCAGTTGGGCACCTTAGAAAGAGCTAGTCTCAATCACTGGACCAGTGACCACCTGAAGACGGAGACAGATCCAGTCTCCGAAACGTCATGGTTTTTTTTGTCTTTTTTTCTTTTACATACCAGACGATGGGTGAAGTCCAAAATAAGCCAAAAGAAGTACACAAAGAAGATGCTGCAAAAACAGTCTCCAAAGAAAAGGAATGGGGGTGCACCATTAGGCTATTCGGGACAAACAGCCTTAAGGAGGGAGCAGTGTGACATATTGCGCAATGGAGGACACCCCATCCCTACCCAGCAATGACTTGCCGGGTGAGCCAGCGTTCCGTCCCCCCCCCTCCACACTGTGACATGGCATGCAACGCCGCTGTTGACACTGTGTCAGGCAACAGCGGTACTCATTATGTAACAGGCAAACACCGCGACTATATAAGGGAACTACACAGCTGCCGAAGGCAGTTAAAGTGTATCAGCCGCCAAAGTGAGTTCTCAAGTCAGCAGTGAACGAGTTAGTGTGTGATCAGCAGTGACACAGTTGGAGAATAGCAGCAGTCGCGGAAAGAAGAACCGGACGTGTGTGTAACTGAGTAATAATTGGGAGTGTGTGATACAGTGACACTTGTATAGCTCACGTATCATAATTAATACATGTAGACTACTGAGGACAGAGTGAAAAGATTAATGCGAATTGGGTTATAAAGTGTGAAACCCCGCAACAGTGTTGTAACTAATTGTAGCCGAGACTGGTAGGTTGTTAAATAAACCAATTAACAATCCAAACGGCATCCTCAGCAAACAAAACACGTTACACTGGTCAGAAGTGGGATCAGTTCGGATTAACCGGATCAAACTTAAAACACTGGACTGCACACGTGACCGACAAGGAAAAATGGAGTCGCAACAAATGATGAAAATCCTGCTAGCCATGCAGGCAAAGGCCGATGCCAGTTACGAAGAAGCGAAGATCAACCAGGCAAAAGCGGATGCCAACAGAAAAGCCGATCAAGAAAATTTACTGGCCAAACTAGAGGATGAGAGACAGGCCAATAGGAAAGCATGGCGAGAAGAGATGGCCGTCGTGACAGACAAATGGGGTAGCGACAGCCACATGGAGAGGATGGCCTGCCAAGTGATGGAGGCACGGCAAGAGGAGAAGGAGCCGTCCTCACTGGACAGGAAACCTGAGGCGGCACAAAAAGTAGAGGTCCCTGTGGGAGACGCCGAAGTAATGCCGGTCGGAGAACCGAAGAAAAAAAGGCGCAGGGACCGACACCTGGCCATGGAGCGCCGCCGCCAGAAAATGAAGGATTCAACGCGGGAAATTCGTGAACCCCAGAAGAAATTGGCCATCGCCCACATAAGGACAACATGCCGTTCTGAAGTGATATGGAAAACGCAAATAGACCGGAAGGTATCCCTGCTAGCCATGCAACCAAAGGCCAATGCCAGTTACGAAGAAGTGAAGATCAACCAGGCAAAAGCGGACGCCAACAGAAAAGCCGACCAAGAAAATGTACTGGCCAAACTAGAGGATGACAGACAGGCCAATAGGAAAGCATGGCGAGAAGAGATGGCCGTCATGACAGACAAATGGGGTAGCGACAGCCACATGGAGACGATGGCCTGCCAAGTGATGGAGGCACGGTGAGATGAGAAGGAGCCGTCCTCACTGGACAGGAAACCTGAGGCGGCACAAAAAGTAGAGGTCCCCGTGGGAGACGCCGAAGTGATGCCGGTCGGAGAACCGAAGAGAAAATGGCGCAGGGACCGACACCTGGCCGCGGAGCGCCACCGCCAGAAAACGAAGGATTCAACGCGGGAAATTCGTGAACCCCACAAGAAATTGGCCATCGCCCACATGAGGACAACATGCCGTTCTGAAGTGGTATGGAAAACGCAAATAGACCAGAAGGTATCCCACCGTGCAACAGTGAGACGACATAGAAGAGACACCCTCAGGAAAGAACGGACACATATTCAGGATGGGCACCAGAAGAAATACGTCACCATTCGCAGCAGGTTGTCCCTCTGTGCACGAGTACGACCCAGGGGACACATCATGGGGATCAACCAAACTTGGAACAACATTGCAAGAGGAGCCCCCAAAGGGCGGAGACTTCAGGCGGAACCGGAGAGCAACATTAGAATGAAGAACGAATACACAAGACAGCAGCTGCATCCTAAGAACGAGAACAATACCCTGATAAACAGAAGTGCAGGAAAAATGAAGTTAACCGAACAGAAGCTTAAGGAAATGCATACAGGGTTTGTGAAATCACTATACCATAGGAAGAGAAGTGGTCCACACTTTCACCAAGGACTCAGAATAGGTTTCAGCAAATTCGGAAATCATGCCCCAAACTCTCAGCACTGTGACTGACATTAACACACCAAAGCAAATGTATCAGGAAGCATGTACAGGAAGGGGTTTGTGTGTGTGTGTGTGAGAGAGAGAGTGTGTGTGTGTGTGCACAGGAAGTCACAGTCTGACAGTGTAAAGGTAAAAGGTAAAGTTGTCCCCATGCTTAATTAAGCACCTCACCATGAATGTGTGTGGGGGAGTGGATGAAGAGTTGCACAAATTTTTAACTGTGGCATTAGATGGAGATGAGTGGTTAGCTTCAAGTTCCAGCCACTTTATGCTTGGGAAAGTTCCTTGTACCCACTGGATAGGATTTAGGGGCAGCCCAGGGCTGTTCTGGACCCTGTGGGCAAGATAGACATCTCTTGTTCTTGTCAGGAATCAAACTCTGATTCCTCAGCTGCCAAGCCCACAGCCTAACCACTACACTGAGTTATGCTGGATCATAGCCTGGCAGCACTGGACTATATAGGAAGGATATGTTTGATACGATGACACTACAGGTATAAAAAATCTAATTATTACATAAAAAAATACATACAAATCAAGTTAAAGACTGCAGACTATTTGTTGAAAGAACAGTTATTTTTTTGTAACCTACTGTTAACTCAACACTGCAGCCACAGAAATAAGTTAAAAAAAGTCAGATGAAGAGTAGGGATGATGCCACTTGATGCTTACTGCCTTCCTGCCTTGTCATATTCCCCTCCATTCCATTCCACACTTGTCAATGGCAAAGGGTTTTACCCGACCATCCTGAGGCACATAACAGCTAGACAAATGGAGCGGAATACAGGGAAGTATGCTAGAGGCAGCATCACAGCTTGAGACAATATTTAGACGATCAATCCATGCGACCTCTTTCTGTGACTTCAGTAAAGTCCAGCATTAGCTGAAACTGTGGGAGCCCAGTCTTTTCAAATATAATAGGGTCATAACCACTTCAGACAGTCATAATCAAAATACAACAAAATTGGTATACCAATAGAAGAAAAAATATCATTTCAGTTTCGTTCAACCAGTTACAGCAATACCTCTTTTCATGCGTGCTTATACAAGGGAACAAGATACCAATTTGCATTACTAGAATTTGTGCCCATATGTAAGAGAACAATTATCTTTCTTAATTCATGAACTAAATTCAATAACCTACCTAATTCAGAGGATAACGTCCAGAAGTGAAGCTTACCACTGGGTGGAGAGTGGGTAGAGACAGGCTCCCAAGTAAAGTTTCGGTTGCACATGTCACCTTCGCAGCAGCAAAACATAAGAGCTTTTTTTGGCTCCTCCCGCTTCTCGACACATTTAGGTTGGTCATAGCAATCAATGTTGTTCAAAAAACAACCCTGTGAATACAGAAACACAATACAGTACATACTTCCTGCAAAAAAAAAAAAAAGTTTAAAATCTCTGATTCTCCATAACCTTGCTTCAGCATGTATAGATTCTTTTTATATTAAATATTCTCTTTATCCTGTCCTTATTTCAGAGATGCTTTTGTTTACTGCAGTTTTCTGTAATTACTCAGACAGAAATGCCATAACTCATTACATTTTTCTCTCCTGTTAAAAACCTTCCTGATGAAATCAAGATTTTTTAACTCAAAAACATTTTAAAGTTCACCTTTAATGTGTGGGAACAGATTCTTTTAAATTGCCTAATAGTGTGGGGCTGGCAGAGAAACTCTCACATGGGAACAAAAATTTATCATCCAGGAATTGTGGACTTCAAATCTCTCTGGTGTCCAGATCCTTACTCAAAGGTAATGGCATGTGTGTGCATATGCCTGTGTGTGTGTGTGTGTGTGTGTGTGTGTGTGCATGCACACATACATTTGTATCTCAAAAGGAAGAGACTGTAATTACCTTTCTAACCTAACATACATTATCAGGGAAAAGTGAAGAAATATATTGGTGTGAATTTTACTTGAGTATAAATAACACGCAAAAATAAATGTTAAAATCACCTTAAGTTTGATATATGGCTTTCCCATGCTATTATTCTGCCACAGCACAAAGCAATGATTTCGCTTTTCAGGCTCAGGCTGTTCACATTCTTGAGTCTCAAAACAACCTTGCTTGGATTCCTGGCATAATGTGTCATTGTAATATTCGCAGCGAGCAGTGGTTGCAACATTGCTGCTTGATGCCCCTACAGATCATAAATCATAAATATTTCTTGTAACAAAATGTTAAGGATGGTGAAAACCAGCTACAAGAAGCTTCACAGCTTTACATTGTAAGACTATGCCATAACACTACCCAGTTCTCTGAGAAACAAATTATGTGCCAACCTAATGCAGGATGGGCTGTAGCACATATAGTAAAACCCATATTTAAGATTTCTTTAGGAAGCAGCAGATTCAAACGACACTGAGGAAAATCTTAAATGGAAGAAATTCAACATTAACATCATAGACTTGGGTTAAAACTGGATATTAAATGACAGAAAACAAACTGAAGAACATTAAATGTGGGTTTCACTGTCACTCACTGTAAATATAGGCCTGCATTCAAAATCAGTAGCTCTTACGAATCCATAGATTATATATTACACTCAAAAAATCATCCAAAGCTGAACAGCACGATTTTCACAAATTTTTATAATGTCAATCACTAGAACTGTTGGCTGTGGGGTATAATGATCATGTGCACTGTCTTGGAAGGAAAAAGGAGGTGGGAGAGCAAGGAAATACAGAACAGCCAGTGATGACAAATGCAGCATCGCGAACAATGGTGTTCAGTGAATTGTTTTATTAACTGTACTTACACTTGACTCAGCTGTTATATTTAGTAAAAAAAAAAAACACTATAGCCTACCGTAAGTTTTTGGGAGGTAAGAAAGTTAAAGCTATCCCTGTAACAGGCCGTGGTGACCCACAGGGTTGTGAGATGTTGAGGCTCCCACATTTTCTTGACAATCAGGTCACAAATGGTAGTGTGGTTGTCAGTCTCATGCACCATCCACCGTTTACCACCCAGGAAGATTCCTGGTACTCATTTCTGCTAGAGGCTGAGTCAACCCCAGGGTCACACTGCAGCTGGAAGGATTTGGTCAAGTAAAAAATCCAATGACCTCAGCAGGACTCGAACCTGCAACTTTCTCAGTTGTAGCTACGCTACAGTGTGCCCCCTGTTGAGAGGTAACAGTAACAAATAATACATGAACAGAGTAAAATGTGGATGGAATACAACTACAAGCCATACATCATACATGTCATGAAACTGAAATGCCTTTAATCACAGATCACTGAATAAATTCAAACATCCAATCCAAATCTCGTCCTGTAAGTCACAAACAAACCCTTACATATGACAATATATACAAATGTTTAAGGTGATGTGACTCTACAAAACTTACTGCAAAGCTCTGAAATGATGTAAGGTAACAGAGCAGGATTCAGCAAACCGTATTCACACGACACCTAATGCTACACTTCAGAAGGAGATGTGAGAGGACAAAGGCAAGTTGTAAGAACTTAACAACTGGAATCTTACTACTAGTAGAGTCAACCCTGACAGAAAATCCTAGGTCCCCTATGGTAAAGGAAGTTTGACATGTAAGATTTGAGGCTTTCACGGCGGTGACTATGAAGAAAGCGGTCTTCTGGGATCACATATACATGGTGCCAAATCCCAGAAGACTGCTTTCTTCGAAGTTTGACATGTCACCGATAACACCATTAAATAAGAACTTCTGGGAACTAATCATCTACCTTCCTTTCACAACAAATTATATGTAATATATCCATATACACCCATTTTAAATGCATGAAATCCTAATTTCACTACATAATATTTACATATCGAAAATTTGAACGAGAAAACTGTCCAGTTGACACAAGAGATGGTACACAATTGAACAATAGCAATAATAATTGCTACACAGCTTTATCATACCATTAAGTTCATTATTTGATAAATAATTGTCCTTTTTTTTTCAGGACCAGGATAAAGTAATTTCCTACAAACAAATAAACTCCGTGGCCCATAGTCCGCATGCAAACTATACCAACCGCCGTTTGTCAGTGAAGTTAGTGCCAACTTTTGTGGTTAGAGGGTGTCACGTGGTCAGCACAAATGGATCCCCACAGCCGTTACTCTCATTAATTGGATCTTAGCCATATAACAATTATTTAAAGACTCACTTTAATGACTGCAAAAAAAAAAAGCAGCAGATCGCCCAATACGGGCCGAAACATGCAGAGGAATTAGAATCATATGATAAGCACAAATTCAATAAAAGTTATGGTATCTGATGGTATTCTATGTTAATTCAAAAATTTTCCTAAAAGGAAATGGTAGCGCTAATGATGACAATGATGATAATTAGAACACCACAAGCAATTTTTAACATATTTACAATTACAATTACAAGAAAATTATTCCAACTCAAGCTGGATTTGATCCTACAACCATTTTCATGCCAATCCAGCATGTTAGTCCATAAGCCAAATTATTATTGGATTATGAACTTACATTACCTAAACGTATCATTAATAACACACGATTTGTAGGACTGGAAGTTTGTGTAACAGGAGAGTAGTTTTCAGGAGTTCTGCTCAGAATTTGTTATAATTATTCTACACATAAAATTTAAAGGTGCATTTGTTCTATTTGAATTAATTACTTCTTTCTTGATGTGTCTGGTAAGCATACATACAATTATAACACAGCGAGAATGCCACCATTTGAGAAAGTAAAGAGGTTGAACTACATGGGTGCTATATTGTAAAGATATTCCCTACATTTATTCTTCCTATTCTATCCCAGCTGGTCTACTACAGGCTCTAAAAAGGTACCTGCAATGCATAGAGAAAATGAAGTATTATAATTAAACTTACCAAAACATACAAACAGCAGAAATAACAATGATTTCAACTGAATCCAGGTAAACATTGGAACAGTGTTGCACTTCCAGCGTTGCAGCAAATTGGAGAACTTTAAACACTTCAGGGAAGACCAACATCAAATTGAGCCCAATTTGCTATCTGAAATATGGTCATCCTCTTAATAGGCCTTGGATCAACTCAGCCTTTCAGTACCCTTAGGCATTAAAATTTGTACTAAATGATCTAGGCCTTATTGCAAGTATTCTCGGTTTATGATGCCTATTTGTAATAAGCTCTGTGCTTACATCGTAGCAGAAGTGGCCCCATCCATTAAGACAGGCCTGGGATAAGGATGCAATCTCACACGGCCCCTAGTCACGCCATGTGAATTAGCAATTATGCAAGACAGTAACTGGTTACGTATGTAATTCTACTACAGACGGGAATAAAATTCTGTACTGTTTGTTTTTCACACACCACTGATTCGCTTCAGTTTAAACAGTCACATTTATAATACATCTTGTTTCGTTTGCTATACAAGGTGATAGCTTAGATGTCAACACTGCCTTTTCGACGTCCGGAGTTTCATCCAAGAATAATATACAGGCGAATGTACATACGATGTTACCTAAATTGACAATCAAAGCAATATAAAAAGCAAAGACTTCTACCAATGTATTCACTACAAAATTCACACCTGCCCTAATATATCTTTACAATGTGACAAAAAGGAATTGAGCTGCATGAAGGTAGATGTTTAATTTAAACCCTGAGAGTCTGTCAGTAATCTTGCGAACTGCACACACGCAGCACTTCCCAAAAAAAACACACACGATAAACACTTTTCTCATAATAGGCAATATGGCGTACTTTTTTGCAGCAAAACATGACCTCCTCCGAAAATTCCCATGGTTCCTTGAGTTATGGTCGCTCGTATTTAATAGGCCTCCCCATTTTCTCCTAGTATCTTTCCCGTTTTGCATGGGTCTATGGAAGGTAGTCGTTTCTTTGCCATTCGTCACTTTCTTGGCCGTTCTTAACTTTCAGAATGTTTGCCGTCTTATTTTTCTCTCCGTTGTGTATTCCACTGGGAACCGGGATAGCACTGATCTACGGGCTGAACGGCGAGGGTTCGTTTCGCGGCAGGGGTAAGGAATTTGTCTCTTCTCCAATGCGCCCAGACAGGCTCAGGCGTCCACATAGCCCCATACCCAGCTTCTACCCAATTTGAACAGGAGGCTAATTCCCAGGGGGTAAAGCGGTTGGAGCGTGAAGCTGACCAATGACTTGTATCCAATTTCCAGGTCAAGAATGGTGGAGCTATACCTCCACTCCCCCATATGTCTTCATGGCGTGGTGCTCAACTAATTAAACAGTGAGACACCTTTTCATCTTTTGTTTTCCAATAAAAGGGAACCCCATCTTGTTTTAGGTCATCCCATACGTTTATTTCTTTGAAGTGTAATTGGAATGCCCTTATCAGTATTATTATTTAAGCCTTTATTTTTACATGACCAAACCATAGGGTTCAGCTCTCATGTAACTGTATTAATGAACCATAAATTCTCACTTCCACAAAAATTACTTTTCCAGTTCTATACCTTATAAAACATTTCATACCTGCTACTTGGATTCTGTGTTTGTTTCCCTTTGGAAGGGTCAATGCTTTAGTGCTGTATACTGAAATATGTTTAAAACACATTTTATACATGCTTTTGCATTTCATTACTGAGGATGTTTGTGAACAGGCTGCTGAGGAGAAAATTTAGAACAAAGAGAGATGAAGTGGGGCAGGGGGTTAGAGAAAACTGTATGATGAGGAGCTTCATGACTTGTACTCTTCGCCAAGTATAATTAGAATGATCAAGTCAAGGAGGACGAGATGGGCATAGCATGTAGCACGAATGGGGAGAAGAGGAATGCATATAGGTTACTGGGAAAGAGACCACTAGGAAGACCAAGACTTAGGTGTGTGTGCAATATTAAAATGAGTCTTAGAGGGACGGGATGGTATGGACTGAATTGATCTGGCTCAGGATAGGGACCAGTGGAGGGCTCTTGTGAACATGGTAAAGAGCCTTTGGGTTCCACAAAAATTTTGGGGACTTCTTGAGTAGCTGCACAACCGGCAGCTTCTCAAGAAGGGCTCAGCTCCATTAAGTTATAAATTTTTGCATTTCTTTAGGATCTATCAATTCCTTAGAGTTTGTTTTAAAAAATTATTAAATTTTGCGCTATTTTCAACAGTACTATCTTTTAGGATGTGATACTGTGTAATCTTGGCATATCTTTGGAAATGCTTCAGGTTACCATATTGCCTCCATGTTCTGGGCCTAAGATTAAGCCCAGAATGCTTACCATGAGGGAGGCAGACCATTCCTCCACCATATGAAACACTACTGCTAGACGATACAGTATCGCATCCAACAGGATAGAGTTCTTTGTCATGGCTGGGAGAACTTCATATAGAACTATCTTGTATTCTTTTTACCTCTCTGCAAGACAGCAAGTCTGCTAAAGCACCATGGAAGCATTGATTTATAGTTTCTGGATGCAATTCAAATCCTCATCTCCTACTTTTTCTAGTTATATGAATTAACGTAGTCGGTATAGAGACTGCCTACGGGCCTGACAACTGAGGTGTTGGAATTCAAGTCCCAATAGGGTCAGAATTTTCTCTTCTCCTATCGAGTGGGTACTGGGGCTTTTCCCCAGAGGTAAAACGGCAGGGGCATGATGCTGACCATTCACCTCCAGCTAGTGTTGAGGTCAAGAAAATTTCTATCTATTCATCCACTCCCCCATACACCTTCAAGGCTTAGATAAGCTTAGATAAGCACAGGGATAACATTATGAATACATTTCATTTCTTTTGAGCAATGAAATACCTTATCCTGTGAATGACATTCATCCAGCATTACTATTTTTAATACAGGAAGCAGTTCATAATTATATTTTGCTCTGGACAAATTTCTAGTCTATTTTTAAGGTCAGCAGTATTGTATAGTATATTTATTTCTTAACAAACTATGTTATTTCTTTTGTTCATTTCTTCCTTTACAAATCATAATTCCTTTGCCAAAAACAAGTGCATAGGATATTAAATGCTACATCATGTGTTACCAATGAAAGTGATGAGAGCTTAAGCTGATAGCTATGTTTTACATAAATATAACAGATTATTTAGTGTGGTCCAATGCCAAAGAAATAGAATTATTTAATTGTTTAGCAGTTAACTCAAGGAGGATGAGATGGGCAAGGCATGTAGCACAAATGGAGAAGAAGAGGAATGTGTATAGGATATTGGTGGGAAAGCCAGGAGGAAGGAGACCACTGGGAAGACCATGTTGGGTGGATAATATTAAAATGGAACATGAGAGAGATAAGATGGTATGGTCTGGATTGGATTGATCTGGCTCAGCATAAGGACCAGTAGGTGGCTCTTTTATACATGGTAATGAACCTTTTAGGTCCATAAAATGTGGGGAAGTTCTTGAGTAGCTGCACAGCTGGCGGCTTCTCAAGAGGGGCTCAGCTCCATGAGTGAGTGAGCAATTTTACTATTAAATCACACATATGATGAGAACAGCGTTTTATATACACAGCTGGCAGCTGTTTGAAACTGTGCCATCTAAAGCATGAAGATGTAACTAGTTTGCTGTTTTAATGGAGAAATGAAGGCGATAAAGGAAGAATTAAGAGCGAAAAAAAAAATTAAAGAAAGGATTTGTTGTTGAATTTCAAAAAACTTATTACCCTTCTTATCTACAATTCTCTTTCTCAGCTATCTTGAATATTTTTCATAAGTGAACTAGCAGTAACCAGATTATTAATTAAATACCAACACTTTAATTTATTTACATATTTAATTTCATTTGATGCATTTGCTTATATGACTTAGCAAATGGGTTAACTTGTCAGAGTATCTTGTCCAATCATCACATTACTTTGGCCAGACACCAATGGTATGATTTGTTTCTAAGCCATTTTAGTGTTGCTTTAGTAGAGCTGACTATATAAAGATGTCCATATCCACTCCTATTGGCCTCACTTTGATACAGTGGTGAAACCAAATCTAGTCGTTTATCAAGAATCAGGATGGACCACTTCCCGGTGACTTAATTTCTGCATCCACTGATGTCAATGCCACTGCCAAGTTGTACACCTGTATATGTTCTCCTTTGTGTGTATCCCTTGTAAGCAGCTCTCATGTAACAGAGCCATCAAGTGACACCTCTACTGGGGTTCCTGCAAAGTCGTTGCATCTGGAGAGAAGCAGAAACATATCCAAGCATTTTATACATATTGTGGCATTCAGACCTGTTGATAGGCAGCAACCACGAGATAAGCAACACTGCAACATCCCGCAGACAACAGAGGAATGGTGTTTTCTGCACAGTCCACTAAGCAACATTTGAACAGCAACAAAGGAACAGTGTTTTCTGTGCAGTTGGTGCAGGACAATTGGAGCAATAATCTAGCTGTGGGACAGCTGCCAGCCGGTAAAGAACATGAACACAGAAGCTGAGGACACTGGTGGGTTCTGTCATTGGGCAATGACTGGTGAAGACACGCCAGGCTGAGAAGACTTATATGTGCTGAGGTGAACTGCAGTGTGTGTGAATTCGCGATTGTGCTATAGTTACTTGTAGTTACATACTAACTGTTCACTAAATCTAATTACACAATTGATTCTTGTAAGAGACACTGGCAAGCCTCTTCACCGACAGCGGTTTAACACTCAGTTCATTACGTAACCCCTTGAGATACTGTGGAGCACATATCTGAGTCCGTGGCAAGTTCCTCAGCCATATGTTGAAAACTGTGAAACCCAGCAATAGACCACACGCCTATTTCGTGACGACTTTCTGGAGGAACCTATTTTTTTATACTTTCGTGGGGTGGGGTGAGACTGAGTCCACTTGGTACGTCAGCTACTAAGTGGCCTATTGTACCAGTCCCAGATGATACGTGTAGATGGTGGTGTGGAGCAGTCGGTGGAATGAGGATTGGCAGGGAAGGACACTTGCCCCAGTGCCACTTTGCCCACCACAAAACTCACATGACGTGATTTGGGATCGATCCCGGGCTGCCACGGTGGAAAGCCAGCGACTAACTGCCTGAGCTATGGCATAGCGGCATGGCCTTGGAGGAAACTACGGAGAAATGTTAAAGTTTAACAAGTGGAACACATATCGAAATTTACTGCAAACTTGTAGGATCGTATGGAGAAACAAAGTAACTCACGAAACTGTGAAAAGTTGACACTGTTTCCATTCCTCGGCTTCCCCGAAATTAACACACGTTCTGTAAGTCTATGGGCGTAACCATTCATAGTCGGCTCTTCTGAGCACGGTAAAATCGTAAAGTGACTTTGACTTTTGACCCAGGCAGAGGCATAAACTCAGCAGTGGTCAAGCTTACGACCGTTCATGTGACTAAGCTGCCGTTGTAGCGTAAGATATGTAAGTTAGGCATAGTCTGCTCTGTGAGGCTTGTACTGACAGAGGACTTGTGTGTAGTGCAGAAGGAAAAATTTTCAATGACATGTTATACGTGCGAAATATACACTTGACGAAAGGCCAGGTCTATTCATAAGAGACAAACCCATCTTCTTGTCAGAGAAGATGTTACATAAGGGCTATAACAGCAAGAGTTCGGTTGGAAGAAAATCTCTGGTCGTGGTCCTCAAGGGTACTGACGCCAAGTCGAACTGATTGGAGGTAAACCACCAGTCGTAAAGTAACTCTGACTCTCACTCAGACTGACCAGTTCAGTTGTCAGCAGTCAGTTGAGGGTTGGCAATCGAGAGTTGAACTCTGCAAGGGAGGGTGAGAAGAGATGGCGCTGTAGTTGAGTTGTCA